AGGAGGAATTAACGCAAGGGTAGGGGATCGAAACCACAACCTCACTCACGGATTAGCGCACAGAAGACCACTAGCCCACTATTTCTTGCAATTATAATTGAAATTTTTTTTCATAAATTGAGGAACAGAACCTTGGGACATAACAGAAAACAGAGACAGAAACTATCGAGCAGGGACGCAACGCAGGTTCGGACCGAGTTTCAACAGAAATTTCATGAGGGTGTTCGAACATTTATAACATCATTGAACATACAGTTTTCCATAGTTCCCGAAATATTTTTAGAACGGGTTTTTTAATCAAAAATCGAACCGACAATAATATGGATTAAAAAACAATAAATGAAACAACCACATTGACAAGGTTCGAAACAATAAAACGAGGCTCCGAACTTAAACGAATTTATACCAGTAACATAACGGTACTCACTTTTATGGAATCGAGAGTTCCAATCATCCTCGAAAATTCACGATCATTCGAAATAATTAACGAACATACAAATCCACAATAAACTGAATTCGAAACCCAACGAAACGATTCAACGCGAGCGAAAATAAATGAAATAATATAATTCTGAACGACAATCATCGAGGGGTTTCGAAAAGGATACCCGTCTTCAGGAATATCGAAAAAATGGGTTGTACGAACGGCTGAACGGACAGAAGGAGGAACTGAAGCCTTGAAATCACGGAACTCCTCGAATACGTTGCTGCTTGCTAACGGAAGGACGTCACCGGAGGGCTCACTCTCAAGGACCTGCGTGCAAATCGCCGGAGAAGAAGGACTGCAGCGGTGGCTGGCGATCTCTTTCTTGCGCAATGGAGTGATGTTGTGAGATGGTGATGATCGAAGGTGCGCTTATGAGGGAGATGGGGAGATTTCTTCTTTTCTTCTCAACAAGCAAGAGAAGAGAGCTTTGAGAACAAAGAAAAATCTGTGTTTATTTGAGAGAGAGGTGAGGGAGAGAAAACGATCGGTGTTGGCTAGAGTGATAAACACGTTAGGAATATTTGCAACGGATGATTTGAAGACCACAGTTACTTGCCATTAATTAAGAAAATAATAGTGGTTAATTTTTCTTAATAAAAGGATTTTCCAACATTAATTGGCCATCAATTAACCAAAGGTAATGGAAAAGAGTCAGTTATGGGCTCACAGCCGGCGTGGGGTGCGGTTTCGTGACTCACGGATGGATTTTCTCGTTTCGATCAAACGAAAAATTCATATAAAACTTGAACATAAATATCTATATATATATATATATACATATATATATATATATATATATATAGGGATTGGTTCCAATGAGTCCACATATTTAAAGTGTGAATGTAAGACCCATTCGAAGCCATTAGATTGGTACATTATGTGTGACTAAGATTAACTCTTCAATTAAATAATAATTTTTTATTTTTATTACTTATTTCTTTATTTTATTATTTTAATTATTTAAATATTATTTTGACAATTGACCATTGACTTCGGTGTTGACCGTTGACTCCGGCGTTGATCGTTGACTTCCGGCGAAAATCGTTGACTTCCAGCGTTAACCGTTGACTTCCGGAGTTGACTTTCAACATTGACCGTTGACCCTTAGTATGCATTGTGTATGAAGTAAATATGAATCCGTACTATGCACTTAGTATGAACTAAATATGCATCAGAAATGAACTATATATGTTCTCCTTATGAACTAAATATGCACCAGTAATATCAACTATGTATGCATTGTTTATGTACTAACTATGCACATTTTACTAACTAAATATGCATTAGGAATGAACTAAATATGCAACGCCAATATGCAATAAAATATACATTTTATACAATTAAATTAAATATAATAATTAGTGATTTTTATTATATAATTAATTTTAATTTTAAATTGATTAATAACACAAATAAATTTTTATGATTGGATCTCAAATAAAATAGGTATGCACTGTTCAAGAACTAAATAAGCATTTCCTAAGAACTAAATATGTATCATGAATTAAGTAAATATGCATAACAAATTAATTATAAAAATATTATTATATATTTAATTTAAATATACCATGTATGCATTTCGTATTAACTAAATATGCATCATAAATTACCTAAACATTCATAATATATTAATTAAATATGCATAATAAAATACCTACATAAAATGCACATTTTATTGCATATTTTTTGTTGCATATTTAGTTCATTCATGATGCATATTTAGTTCATAACAGATGCAAATTTTGTTCTTAACAGGTGCATACTTAGTTGATATTATTGGTGCATATTTAGTTCATAAGGACTGCATGTGCAATTCATATCCCATGCATATTTAGTTCATATTGAATGCATGGTACTGGATGCATATTTCTTTCATACATATAATGCATACTAGGGGTCAACGGGTCAACGCTGGAAGTCAACGGTCAACGACGGAGTCAACGCCGGAAGTCAACGGTCAACATCGAAAGTCAACGATTTTTCGCCGGAAGTCAACGGTCAACACCGGAAGTCAACGATCAACGCCAAAGTCAATTAATAATTATTTTATTATTTAATTAATGTATATTTTAAGGAATGGACTCATTTAAGGAGTGGACTCATTTTAAGGTGTGGACTATATATTACACAATAATTATTAATATATAATAATCATTAATATATATTACACAATAATTATTAATATATAATAATCATATATAATACACACAAAAATATTTATTTAATAATAATAATATACATTTAGATATTTAATAATAATAATATACATTTTGATCAAATACTACTAAAAATAATAATAAAAGTAATAATAATAATAATAATAATAATAATAATAATAATAATAATAATAATAATAATAATAACTTCAATAATCAATTATGCAATTAAACATTAAATATGAATAATAATAACAATAATGCAAAAATAATTAATCTCAAATAATCCAGAATCAAACTGGGCATTATAGTCTATCCACCTTAAAAGGAATTCCGCCCTCGAAATTCGAAATTAAAACAACCAGAAAGGACTAGAATACAAAAGGGGAATATCAACACAAGGTGTTTGGTACTCCCTCCCGAATCCCGGTTTTTCTCTTTTAAGTCGTATCGCCCTCGACTTGACTTCCATTACTGGACTTTGACGAGTACCCCTCCCGGCCTTTCCTGATGGGCCCTCGGTCCCAACAGGTCACCGGTACCTCCATACAGGTAGGGTTCTGCATATCACGCAGCTCCTCACAACCACACGCACCTCGAGGTCACGCACACGTTTCTTCCATCATGAGGAATAGAACGTGTCATGCATCCCCACAATGTTAGAGTAGGATACCCGGCGTTCCAATCAGATTGGATGTATTCTACTTGTAAATACAATCTATTGGAATTATATTAAATAATAAGACATTACTTTATTTTAAGAGTAAGCATTTATCATATATTTGCACTTAAGATAAAATCCCTAGATCACTTATAGCTATAAGATATGGTTGCGCATAGAGATGGTGATCATGGAACATATCTTGAAAGTTGTGATCTTAAATACAGTTCCAAGTCGTTGGATATTTCAAGATGGGATATTGAATAAATCCAGAAAAGACTTGCACATAGTATGTATGCTTATTGGATAAGAATGTTGTATTCCATCA